AATAGGAATAAAGACAGACATGATAAATAGGAAAAAAAAAAAAAAAACAGCAACACTGCAGATTTAAACCTAATCATACCAAGAATCACATTAATTGTAAAAAGTCTAAATATTTCAATTAAAAGGTAGCGACTTGTCAGATTGGATAAAAAAGCAAGAACTAAGTATATGCTGCCTTTAAATATAGAGATACAAATGGGTTAAAAATGAATGGACAGAAAAAGATATTTAATGCTAACACTAACTGAAAGAAATTTTCAAAAAGAACAAAGTTGGAAGACTAATAGTATATGATTTCCAGACTTGTTATAAAGCTACATAAATCAAGATAGTGTGGTACTGATGTCAAGATAGACAATTAGACCAATGGAACAGAAGAGAGAATCCAGAAATAGACCACATGGATATGGATAACTGATTTTCAACAAAGGTGCCAAGTCACTTCAGTGGAGAAAGCATAGTCTTTTCAACAAATGGTACTGGAACACATGAATACCTATATGCATAAAAACAAAACAAAACAACTTTGATCCATTCCTTACACCATATAAAAAAATTAAATCAATATGGAGCATACACCTAAACATGAAATCTAAAACTGTAACACTTCTAGAAGAAAATATAGGAGTAAATCTTTGTGACCTTGGGTTAGGCAAAGATTTCTTAGATATGACACCAAAAGCATGATTCATAAAAGAAAAATTGGATAAATTGGAATTCATCAAAATGAAAAACTTGAGGCATTGGTGGTTCTGTGGTGGAATCCTCGCCTTTCATGCAAGAGACGCAGATTTGATGCCCAGCCAACGCACCTCACATGCAACTACCACCTGTCTGTCAGTGGAGGCTTGCATGTTTCTGTGATGTTGAACAGGTTTCAGCATAATTTCCAGACTAAGAAGAAAGACCTGGCAATCTACTTCTAAAAATCAGTCAATGAAAACCCCATGGGTCATAATGGTTTGATCCGCCACCAAACATGGGGATGGCTCAGGATCAGGCAGCAATTTGTTCTGCTGTGCATGAGGTCACCATGAGTCAGGGACTGACTTGAGGGTAGCTAACAATAATAAGAACTATCAAAAAGACATTAAAAAAAAAAGGGGGAAGTCAGATTTGCCTAAAATATTCACAAATCATACATTTGATAAAGGACTTGTACCAGAATATATAAAGAACTCTCGAAATTCAATAATAAGAAAATAAAACATCCCAATTTAAAAATGGGCTAAGGATTTGAACGGATACTTTAAAAGAGATATATAAATGACAAATAAGATGAAAAGATGCTCAACATCATTAGTCATTAGGAAAATGCAAATTAAAACCACAATGAGATGCTACTATACAGCTATTTGAAGGGCTAAAATTGAAAAGACTGACCATACCAGATTTTGGCAAAAATGTGGAGGAACGGGAATTCTCATACAGTTGGTGGTACAACACTTTGGAAAACCATCTGGCAGTTTTCTTAAAAAGCTAAACATATACCTACCATATGATCTAGCAATTCCACTCTTGGGTTCTTACCCAAGAAAAATGAAAGCACACGTTCATACTAAGACTTGTACATAAACAATGTAAGGGTACATACGGTATCTAACAAGGAAAATAAAATTAATTCTCCCTGGTGCAAGGCAAAAAAAAAAAAAAAAAGATTCCTCCCTCCCATTTCTTAGAGTATTTGCTTACAAGAAAACTTGTAACTGTAAATTCTTTCTCTGCCTCTTCGACATATATTAAATCTTTTTAAAAGCTAAATAAGCCTCTTCACAACCCAGTCATGTCTTTCTTAAGGACCTGGGAGCCATCACTTTGAAATGTAATCATCAAGGAAGATAAGGCCCATATCTCCCAGTTTCTGTGGGAGGGTAGGAACCTTACTTTGGCCAGCATCTGACGCCAAGCTGTAAACCTACCTCCTGTCATAAAGACATGAAAAAAAATGTATTTTTCCTCTAGATAAAGGCAATTAGCAAACACATATGGCCACCCCAATTACCAGGTGAATTTAGAATGAACCATGTGTGACAAATGGACTAGTTGGGACTAATTATCGCTTATCTTGAGAACATGCATATAATGGGTTGCATCTGCTTGTGTATGAAAGGGTGAGATTCTGTTCTGTCTTTTGCAATCTCTTTAGCAGATTGCCCGTGATGCGCATCACATTCTAGTTTAATGTTTATTCAATAATAAAACTCTTTTTTTTCTCTTCTGCCTTTGTGGAGAAGTTTCCTGGGTTGGCAGGAGATTTTGTTTTTAATTCTATTTCCCAACAACATTCATAGAAGCTTTAATCGTAATAACCAAAAACTGGAAACCACTAAAATGTCCATCAACATGTAAAGGTTGAACAAATTGTGGTATATCCATACAATGGAATACTACTCAGTAATAAAAAGGGGTGAAATACTGATACATACATTGATAAAATAATTATGCTAAGTGAAAGATGCTAGAAAAAAAGATATACTGTATGATTCTATTTATACAAAATTCTAGAAAATGCAAACTAGTTTATAGTAACAGAAAGGATATCAGTAGATGCCTAGGGATCGGGGCTGGGGAAATGGAATGGGAAAGACTAGATTAAGGGATTATACTGGGGCAGGAGACAACTTTTGGGGGTGATATGTTCATCATCTTGAGTGAGGTTATGTTTTCATGAGTGTAAAAAAACTATCAAATTATACACTTTACACATGTTCAGGTTTTTTGTATGTTAATTATACCTCAACAAAGCTGTTAAAAAAATAAACAAAAGTAACAGTGTGTTTGGGAAACGTTAAAACTTCAGGGAAAATCCTTTCTTTTAAAAGGAAAAAGTTAAGATTCAAATTCATGACCAGCATCCATAAAAGGGGAGTCCCTGGATGGTGCAGACAGTTAAGCGCTTGCCTACTAGCAGAAAGGCTGGTGGTTCACACAACCCGGAGGTACCTAGCTCACATGACCCGGAAGTACCTAGCTCACACGACCCGGAGGTACCTAGGCTCACATGACCTAGAGGTACCTAGTTCACACGACCCGGAGGTACCTAGCTCACACGACCCGGAGGTACCTAGCTCACACGACCCGGAGGTACCTAGAACATAGGCCTGGAGATCTGCTTCCAAAAGGTCACAGCCTTGAAAACCCTATGGAGCAGTTCTACTCTACACACATGGGGTCACCACGAGTGGGAATTGACTCGAGGGCAAACATCAACATCTATAAAAGGTTCTCTTTTTTATGTATATGGTGCCACTGTCAAAAAACCAGGAAATCTTTCCTTTAAAAAAAAAAAAAAAGCACACAATAGGGGTTTGTCCATTTATCTTCTTCAAGCTTAGTTCTAATGCAATCTCTTTTTTGAAGCCGTTTCTTATCACTCCAAGTAGAAAGTGATTGTTTCCTCCCTCCTGTGAACCACCATATCATTTAATATTATTTTTCAGATATTAATCCAATATAATCATCCATCCACCCATTACACCTTTATTAAATGACTTATATGGGCCAGACACAGGCTAGGTGCTAGAAATACCAAAGTGAGTAGGGCATAGTTCTTCCCCTCATGAGCCTTGTAGTCTGGTGGCAAAAATCAGGCATATTTTAAAAATGAACAGTAATGCACTCTAACAAGTATTTCAAGAAACATAAAAATCACTACAAGTACACAAAGGAAGAAATTCATTTTGTCAAACATACTATCTTGTCCTAGAGTGATTTATTCAGGACTCTTTCTCTACTAAAAACTCCTGAGAATAGGGGCCATGGATTACTCATCTCAGGAATCTGCCAGATTATCGAGCACAATGCCTTCCATAAGTATTTTGGATGGATGGATAGAGGGATGGATGGAGGGAGGAAGGGAAGGAGGGAGGGATGGATGGAAATTCCATTTCATAGGCATCTATTCTTTGACCAGAAGGCTGGGCTACCATGCTGCCAACTTCACAGTTGAGTTCCAACTCTTACCTACTTTGTCAACACAGGCATGGCAATCATTTGAGAAAAGACAAAAACAAAACCTAAATCTAAGTCCCCACAATGCCAAGAGAATAGTTAACACCCATTCTTCCAGTGAAGAAAATATGAAGGGTGGGGGGAGTGGTCAGCAGAGATCAAAGACAAGGTGTCACTGATGATTCACAGCCCCACCATGATTCTGGGGAGGGCCCTGGCTCTCTGTATGTATCACCATCAGGTGTTCCTCTGTCCAAAGGCGCATACGTGAATGGCAAGTCATGCCATCTCTTTGGAAATCGCTCCAGTCTCATTGTGAAAGCAATTTCTGGAGATTAAATTTGTGACTTTCTGCTTTCCCAAATGACCACAACTCCTTTATTGGTGCTCAATTTCTGAAGGGGCAGGGAGGTAGAACAGATAACAACTGTGAAAAAATGAAGACGGTGATGGAAAAACTCAGTTCTCTCACTGTGATCAAAATATTGGCAATGATGGAAGCTCAGTGAGGACAAAACTAGCACAAAATTACAACAGAAAGATTTGGATTAAACACCAAGCAGAAACCCCGTATAGCATTTTTAGACAATGCAATTCAACGTGACAAGAATAATTTTCTCCTCCATCTTAAAGATAAGGCAAGTTTGCTTCTTATATTTACATCTACAGAAACAATAGGTCTCAGAAGGGAAGAGCAGTAGAGATTGATTTAAATCTGTCAGGGATCCACCAGCCTGACAGATGGCTCCAAGGGATGACAGGTGGGCCCTGGGGCTCAGAGATCCTCTTGAGCACGGGGTCTGGAGTCTCCAGTTGGGCCTCGTGGGACTCTTACCTGTAGATGGGGTCCTGCATCACCAACATCTTGCTCTCGTCCCATGTCCACTCCTTTTTCTGCAATAAAAGAAACTGTAAATGAATAAGTTAGGCATGTCCTCAGCTGCAGAACCAGGGCACAGTTGTGCTATTAATGCTTAGCAAACACATGCATTTTGCTCCTGGCCTGACTTTTTCCCTCTAAGAGGCCCAGAGCTGATTACTTAAAAAGGACAAGTGGAAAACGTCAAGTGTTTAGTCTGATCAGTTTCCTTTCAGCACTTTAGAAGATTAACTCTCCAGGGTGCTGAGGGTAGGCAGAAGTCAAGAAGACCTCAGGGGGCTATAGGCAAGACTCTAAATCAGAATTTCATGGAGAAACCACCAGAAAACAAAGACTATACATCAGTCCAGAGGAGGGGGAGAAGCAGGAGGAACAAAACCGAAAGGGGGCAAAGACAGGCCTTTGAGAGACTGTGAATGATGCTGTCAAATGCAAATGAAATGTAGGTCCCAACCTACCTCCCTTAAAGAAGGGAGGAAAAAAAAAAAAAAAGCTCCACACCACCTGGTAAGTTGACTGGGGCGTTTGCAGAGTTACCTGTAAGAAGATACCCATTCTGGCTTTGAACCCAACTTACTGTGAACACAAAGGAGACCCGTGCAGCAGCTGGAGATGAGGAGAGAAACGGGGAGTGGAGGACAGAGGGTTCAAGGGCAGTAATGAAGTCCCCAGACACTTGGAGAGGACAGTAGCCCCTGATTGTGGAACCCCCAGGTACAGGGAAAGAGAATCCTGCTTGACTTCATAAGCCTTTGTCACAGAGTCAGTGCTGTCCTGTCCAGTTGGGGAAGACTGTACTCATCTCTCTATGAAAGAGAGAATCAAGACAGAGGGAAAGGGTAAGAAGGTATGTATTAAATTAATTATTCTTTAGTGAGTGCTTGTAGGCATGTGGGCTTCTCAAAGATAATGCACAAGGTGACCACTCTCAGAATATATCAGGGTTTGGAGATTGTTAGGCCTTCACCAGGGATTACTAGAGGGTAACTACGCCCAGGTCTTGAGGGTGACATTAGAAAGAAGCATTTCGCCAGCAGCTTTACTAAAACACAGCACTATGCATACCTGGCATCATGTACCAACATACACACACACACACACGTACACGCGCACGCACAAACACACACACAATTTTTGATCCCTGAATTTTAATTCCACCCATAGAGGTGGATTTTAGACTGGTTTACAAACATTCAAGATCAAACACATTTGCTGTTATAAAGATAAAACTTTAGAATTCACTGGAGCCCTGGTGGTGCAGTGGTTAAGAGCTCAGCTGCTAACCAAAAGGTTGGCAGTTCGAATCCACCAGCTGTTCCTTGGAAACCCTATGGGGCAGTTCTACTCTGTCCTATAGGGTTGCTATAAGTTGGAATCGACTTGACGGCACCTAACAACCACATTAACAAGAATTCATTATTTCTTTTTAAAGTTACCTTCCTTATAACTATTGGTCTCCACTCGTTTGGAGCAAAAGAGAATGAAGGAAATCAAAGGCTCAAAGAAGAAACTAGTCCATGAGACTAACAGCCCACAGGAACCACAGCCTCTTCTAACCTGAGACCAGAAGAACTAGATGGTGCCCTGCTACCACTACTGACCCTTCTGACCAGGGACCCAACAGAAGGTCCTGGATAGAATGGGAGAAAAATATAGAACAAAACTCAAATTCCTAAATAAGGTCAGACCACCAGACTGACAGAAACTAGAGGAACTCTCGAGACTACTGCCATAAAATACCCTTTGAACTTGGAATTGAAGCTATTTCTGCAGGTCACCTTTCAGCCAAATGATAGACTGCTTATAAAACAAACAATTATCACCCGTGAGTAATGTGCTCCCTTAAACAATTAACTGTATGAGACCACATGGTCAACATTTACCCAGAAGCAAAGATGAGAAGGCAAGGAGGAGAAGGGAAGCTAGATCAGTGGAAACAGAGCAAACAGAATGAAAATGAGAATGTTGCTACATTGTAAAAATTGTAACCAATAGCACAAACAGTATGTATAAAAACTATTAAAGGGGAATCTAATTTGCTGTGTAAATTTTCACCTAAAACACAATAAAATATTATTAAGAACAAAAAAGTTGCCTTCCTATAATTGCTACTCACAGCTCTATGATTTTAATATATAAATGACCCACGTGGAGCAACACAGAACAAGTAGACTAATGCCTTTTCTAAGGGAGACTCCTTCAGATACATAAATGAAGCAAGATCAAACCCTCTTCTTTATAATAAATAATCCCAGATTTTGCAAACATTCCTCACCTGACAAGCTTTCCTGACTAATCAATACCCTAGTTGGTTTTCTTTGCACACACTACACTTTCTGGTGTCCCCCTGAAAGCCTGGTACTCTGAACTTGATCCATAATCCACACATGCACACATGGTCTGATCATCATAGTACAGAGACACCTTTCCTTTCCAGGTTCTAGCCATGATACTACTCTTAACAACAAAGATTGGGTTAGAGCATTTTTAACTGCCTCATAACCTTACTGGCATACGTTATGCTGGTTTCTAACTGATACAATGAGATGTTTCAGAGATATAAAGTCCATAGACCCGTATTTTAAACAGACAATATAATTGGTCACCATTAAAAAAAAAAAACCAACAAAAAACCAAACACACTGTGGTTGAGTCGATTCTGACTCATAGCAAAAACCCTGGTGGTATAGTGGTTAACAGTTCGGCTGCTAACCAGAAGGTCAGCAGTTTGAACCCACCAGGCAATCCTTGGAAACCCTATGGGGCAGGTCTACTCTGTCCTACAGGGTCACCAGGAGTTGGAATTGACTCCACGGCAAAGGGTTTGTTCACCATAGGAGCTCTTTAAATAGCACGACATAATAATATGCTCAAAATATGGTTTCATTTTGGGACAAATTTTTTGTAACACAAATATTAAAGTCACAGCTACAGTCAGGACCACATACTCTGCCTGCACTACGAATTCAACTGAGTTAACAGCGTTTCTGAAGTACCTATTCTGCTGGGTGCTGCAGAGGCAGAGGTGGATCAGACACAGTCCGCTCCGTTCAGTGTGGTGGGCATTGCAATAGCAGCAAGAGCACAAAATGCAGCAGAGAAACAAAGGACAGAGGCATCAGCTGAACTGGGGGGAGATCAAGAAAGGCCTAACAGATGGACAACGTGGGCAGGGTTTCCAGGCAGAGGAAAGAGCATATGTAAAAGCAGAGGTGACCACAGAAAACTGGCAGTGGTCCCAAATGGCTGGATGAAGGCTTCTCTACCACCGCTTGGGGCACCTCCCCCTCCAACACCTTTACTCTGTGCTAAAACCAAAAAAACCAAACCCATTTGTGTCCAGTCGATTCGGACTCATAGCAACCCTATAGGACAGAGTAGAAATGCCCCATAGGGTTTCCAAGGAGCAACTGGTGGATTCAAACTACCAACCTCTTGGTTAGCAGCTGAGCTCTTAACCACTGCACCACCAGGGCTCCACTCTATGCTAAGCAGTGTACAAAATACATTATAATCATTACTTCACAAATTTAGCCATCACCGTGCTATATATCCATAGTCCAGGCTCACAAAAAGTTCAAAGATCCAATCCCAAGTAAGTAAGCTGTTCTTTCAAAAAGTCAAAGATGATTGAATTGTCAGACTAACCATATTGATTCAGGATTGTAACAATGTCAATTGTCTTGCAATAGGAAGAAGTTCTCTACTCCTCTACTAATGGATGGTATTCTTAGCTCACATTAAAATTGCCTAGGGGAGTTTGTATATTTGTATGCCTTTTCTAAAAATTAAACAAAATAGTTTAATTATAAATTCATATGCAGTTATAAGAAATAATGCAGAGATATCTCATTGGTCCTTCAGCCAGTTTCCCCTAATGACAACTTGCAAAAAGATAGCCCAACTAGAATATTGAAATGTATAGTCAAGGTACAGAACAGTTCCCTCCCCACAAGGGTCCCTCAGATTACCCTTTTACGACCACACCCATCCCCACTGCCTCTCTGACCCCTGCCAATCACCAATCTGTACTCCATTTCTATAACTTTGTCCTTCCAAGAGTATTAATACAAATGGAATCATTCAGTAAGTAACCTTTTGGGATTGGCATTTTTCACTCAGTATAATTCTCTGGAGATTCACCCAAGTAGTTGGGTATCATTAGGTCATTTTCTTTCTACTGTTGAGAACTATTTCATGACACGGATGTACCATAGTTCATCCAACCACTCACCCTTGAAGGATATCTAGGTGGTTTCCAGTTTTATATGTTGCTAGGTGCCATCAAGTTGGTTCCGACTCAGTGACCCTATGTACTACAGAATGAAACACTGCCCCGTACTGCGTCATACTCACAATCGTTACGCTTGAGCCCATTGTTGCAGCCACTGTGTCAATCTATCTTGTTGAGGGTCTTCGTCTTTTAAGCTGACCCTCTACCAAGCATGATGTCCTTCTCTAGGGACTGGTCCCTCCTGAAAACATATCCAAAGTATGTAAGACGCGGTCTCACCATCCTTGCTTCTAAGGAGGATTCTAGCTGTACTTCTTCCAAGACAGATTTGTTTATTCTTTTGGCAGTCTGTGGTATATTCAATATTCTTCCCCAACACCACAATTCAAAGGCGTCAATTCTTCCTCAGGCTTCCTTATTAACTGTCCAGCTTTCACATGCATATGATGCGATTGAAAATACCATGGCTTAGGTCAGGCGCATCTTAGCCTTCAAGGTGACATCCTTGCTTTTCAACACTTTAAAGAGGTCTTTTGCGGTAGATTTGCCCAACGCAATACATCTTTTGATTTCTTGACTGCTGCTTCCATGGGTGTTGATTGTGGATCCAAGTAAAATGAAATCCTTGACAACTTCAATCTTTTCTCCATGTATCATGATGTTGCTTATTGGTGCACTTGTGAGGATCTTTGTTTTATGTTGAGGTGTAATCCATACTGAAGGCTGTGGTCTTCGATCTTCATCAGTAAGTGCTTCAAGTCCTCTTCACTTTCAGCAAGC